GGCCGGGCCAGACGGCCCCGGCGGGCGCCGGGCGGATCCGGCCCGACCAGTCCCGAAGAGCAGCTGGAGTTGCTTTGCCCTGTTGAGGTGAAACGGAAAGAGAACGAGCTTCGGTGTAATAGTAACAACAGTACACGCCCGTCCCGGAGTGGGGCGCAGGCTAAATGCCGCCGGGAGCCGAGCGCAGCCAGCCCGGCCGCCGCCTCAGAGCTAATAATAGGCGGTGTCTGCTCATTGGCTCGCAGCAGGCTGTGCCGTGCTCTGCGACGCAAACAGCTTTTAGCGATTTAATAAAAGCCTCAGTTATGCAGATGCATAAAACTAACAGTGAAATATAGAAAGCATTATTAAAAATTGATGAAATGTTTAAGTGCTAAGAGTAATACTTGTCATAATTCTTTTGCAGAGTATGAAATTACTGTTGCATATTTTCTTAAGGTCCGGAGCAGAACCGAGTCTTAACGGGAATTCTTTACTAGTCACCTATGAAGCTCCTGATCCTGAAGTTGCGCTTTTGCAATGAAGAAAAGGAGACGGCTCGCTGCAACTCTAAATGAAAAGGTTCGTCTTGGCCATGAGAAAGATACTTCAGAACAGATTCTTGTAGTGGACTGTGCACAAGAAATTGTCTCCAAGTCTGCAGAAGTAGCTCCTGCAGATCAGCTCGAATCTTCCCAAGAACTTCCACCGTCACCTGAACAAAGAAAGCTCCTAAGCTCATTGCAGTATAACAAAAATCTACTTAAATACTTAAATGATGATAGACAGAAACATCCATCATTTTGTGATTTACTCATAATTGTAGAAGGAAAAGAATTTAGTGCTCATAAGGTTGTTGTGGCTGTTGGGAGTAGTTATTTTCATGCCTGTTTGAGCAAAAATCCAAGCACCGATGTTGTCACATTAGATCATGTAACTCATTCTGTCTTCCAACATTTGCTTGAGTTTCTTTACACTTCTGAGTTTTTTGTTTATAAAAATGAAATTCCATTAGTGCTGGAAGCAGCAAAGTTTTTAGATATCATAGATGCAGTGAAGTTACTAAATAATGAAAGTGTTTCCAATGTACAGACTGATGTGGTAACTGATACACCTACACCAGTAGAAACACTCAGTGAACTGACAGGTAAACTTTTAAATAGTCATCAGTGCACTTTCTGTGGTCGAAGTTTCTGCTACAAGAAGTCCTTAGAAAATCATTTGGCTAAAGCCCACCGACCCCTTTCCCTGGAACGAAAGCATGGGTTAAAAATGGTTGAGAAGGCCAGCTTTTCCACTAGACGCTCCACGAGAAGCCGTAAATGTCCAGCTAAATTTGATATTAGTGACAATGAAAGCAGTGATGCCTCTGACAGCAATTTGGAAAAAGTCAGTTCTGACAAGGAGACATCTGAGAAAAGTGAATTTGAAGACAGTGAAAGTGAGTGCAATGCGGATGAAGATGGTCAGGAAGAGGAAATGTCAGGTGAAGATTCAGAATCTGAAGAACAAAGCGAAAAGGATCAGAATGATGCTGAAGAGGGTTCTGAGGCAGTTGACTCAATGGGGAATATTCCTGAAGGCTTAGCTCCAGTCATCATTCAGAGCAGTAGCAAAAAACTACTGCAGTGTCCCAAGTGTGACAAAAAGTTTGATCGAATAGGTAAGAGCGAGTTAGGTTGATCTTGTTCATGGTGGTGCTGTTTGTGTGGGAAATAAACCAAGCTTTTTCTCTGTCCTGGAGAGTGAATATAAGAATTTCTGGATCATCTCAATGATCCAGTGGGCTGCTGTTTTCTTGAAGTGTATGAAGTTGTTATGTCTGTGGTGCTAAATAGTTTCAATAAATTATCTGAGCACATTATTTTAAAAATCTGCAAATACTACATTTATTTCTCTTCCACTGCTCTAGATTCTGATTGTTAGCAGAGTATGTAAAAGCACAGCTACTGTGCAGAAATAAATGGCCTGTGAGTATTTAGGGTTGGAATGGTACATTTTGGTTCAGCACACATTGGAAGCCCTTTTGTCTTTACACTTTCATAACTTACAATTCTAGTTCAGTGCTCAAAAAAATCCATGACAAGCACACATTAAAACAAGTGATACATAAAGTATTTCTTTATAAGCTTGTATTACAATGGACAGTTGACTTATATGTTAAATTTTTGAGCTTCAGAAGTTCATAAATTTACAGTACTATACAGCAGCATACACGTATGTTCTACAGAAAAAAAAATAAAATCTAGGACAAAGCAGAGAGGCTGCTATTGACTTGAGGTAGATTTATCCACAGGACAGAATTTTGTCCTCAGAAAAAAGTGGCAAACAGAAAAGGGAATACAAGCCATGTGAAAGAAATGAGAGAGTATCATTTTTGTTTCTGGTAGTATGTTGGGTCCCGAATACAGATAATATACAAGGGTTTCTATGTTTCATTCAGTGTTCTGGTATTTCAAAGTACCTTAAGATTACCAGTTTGTTGTGAGGCTGTTCCCCATTCTGCAGAGGTACTTATGCTCAGTGTAATGTGCAGTATTTAAGAAGAGACTGCTGTGAGGTTGAACAAGAGTGACTTGTAACCCTCGCACAGACTTATAGGAAGATAGAAGTGGATAGGAAGATAGAAGATGGATCAAACACATAGGTGAGCACTGGGCAGTTTTCAGTGGTGTAAGCCAGTAAGAACCTTCAGATGCATTGGAGGGTATTTAGAGCTTGACTACATGTGAGAGAGACTATAGAACAAGCCCCAAACATGCCTATTGCAGGTAATAGCTTTTACAGATCATGCTAACAGATTTGACTTTGTTGTCCAGGCAAATATGAGAGCCACACACGCGTCCACACGGGTGAGAAGCCTTTTGAATGTGATATTTGTCACCAGCGCTACTCAACCAAGTCCAACCTGACAGTGCACAGAAAGAAACACTCCAGTGACACTGACTTCCATAAGAAGGAACACAAATGTCCCTACTGCAATAAGCTGCATGCAAGCAAAAAGACCTTAGCGAAGCACGTGAAGAGGCAAGTATGACATAATGTGTCTGGTATTTCTGAAGAAGCATTTTTTTCATTTTAAAATAAGTGAAGATAAGCATATATATAAACACAGCATATTCTGCATTATTTTTATAACTATTTCAAATAACTGCCTTTTCAAAGGGCATGGGGATTATCAGTATCACTTAATCTGCTGTAAGAAATAGCAGTAGTGTTTCTATGGTTCTGCCAAAAGTTTTTATTATAAATTTTAGAATCTTTCAGATGAGCTTGCACAGTCAGAACACATCAGACTTAAAAATTACCTGTACTGCTTTTGATTTGAAGGCAGAGTAAAATACCTTCTTTAGTTCTATATATCAGTGCTTTGCTGTTGATAATAGTAGATGTCTAAACCATTCCTGTGTAGATTCTTTTAGATAAATAATTTATGACAGGTCTAATTATAAGGTATTCTTATTTACATACTGCTTTTTTCCTTTTTTTCTTTGTAAACATCCATAAGTTGAAGTTGCCTTCTGTCTTATCAAATGTTGTATGAGGTTCTACAGGAGTCCACAGTCAACACTTCTTTCCAGATAATTATGTCATTAAAATTGTTTTAGCATCAGTATTCTGTTCTGACAGTGTGGTGATCAACTTCTTTGACATATAAAGCTTAGAAATAGATATTTAGTATTTGGATTATTTTCATCTTGGAAAGCCATGACTGCTTTCAGCTTCTGTCTTTCTCCTAGGTTTCATCCAGAGAATGTACAAGAATTTCTTTCTATCAAGAAGACAAAGAGTGAAGGTTGGAAATGTGATGTAAGTAATCCTTCAATACTTTTGTTTTTTCATACAGAGTTTACCTTTTGTGAACTTTAATGAAAATCTGGTGTATGCTGTGAAATCTCAGAAAGCTTTCTAAGGGATACATTTCCTCTAGCTACTGATTTAAGGACTGAACTTTTTCTGTATGTACGGCCTCTGGTCAGATAAATAATTCCAATTTGAATTCTAAAATAGTTAAAGTATTTCTTCAAATACATCGGTTTACAGATTAATAGACTAGTGAATGCTTTAAAAACAGTATTTACTCTCCTGTTAATTACACACATCAAGCATTGACCGTAAAGTATACTGTTATAGGAGGGATCTCTCAATTGTGAGGAAAGTATATGTTAAATATGAAACACTTTCTCATTTAACTTCATGTGAAAGTCAACAGAGTTGTAAATTTGTACTAAATTTATCTCTAGTTGTATAATCACAGAATTGATTTTCCCTGGGAAAGGTATATGTGTGAAACTATATCTCCTCTTAAAAGGAGTTTGTAGAATTTCCATTTTCTATATGTATGCTACTAAATAATGTTTTAAGATTTCAGATGTGGGATTTTGTTGTTGTTTCTTTTTGTTAAGGAAATTGGTTTCCTTTTTGTTTTTTAGGGCAGCTGTTTCATTTATGCAAGCTGCTGTCTACTGCTGTATGTCTGTAAAATTAGGGGCTGTAACATAATTTCAAACCTTGCTTTGTTTTGTAACTTTCGCTTGTAAACATATAGTTGGATGTTGGGAGATATCAGCTGTAGGAATTTGTATTGTTCATTGTTTCTCTGGTGGGGATCATGGTTCAAGGTTATTACAGGGTTCATCAAAGGGTGTTATCTTCCAGGTGAAGTTGTATTGTGTGAATGTGTTGCAGTTTCTGTTTGTTACTAGATAAGAAACATTTCAGTGGTTGGACTCAATTGTGCAACATTGTTGACATTCTTTCTGGTGAAAGTGTGTTACCAGATGAGTGATTTGATAAACTCCACTTCCTGGTATATGGGTTCGTTTTTTAAATTGAAAATTTTAAGTAGAAATTTTTAAAGAAGTGAGCTGCTGCTCCTTTACAGCTCGTGTGCATTGAAAATGGACTTGAATTAAAAGCAGGTAGAATTCCAACTTTTACAGCAGCTGGACATTGAATAGGACCCTTGGGTGCTGTGCTTTATTTTCAGTTTGTGTGGTGTCTTCTGAGGGCAAAGGTGCCACAGATGCTAAGCTACTGGGTTCACTAAGGTTATTGGTTTATGCTGTAATCTGTTTGTAAACAACAGGACTTGCTGACCATATTTTAATCCTTGAGGAAGATGAGCAAATTTACACAAACAATATATGTTAATAGTAAGGAAAAGCAAGAGAGCTATTATACTTTGTACAAATATGTGATTTTCTTACACCTATATTTAACATTAATGATTTTTTAAACAAATAAAGCTGCTGGTTTTGATTTCCATATTCATGTGTGCTCTGAGAAGCTGATTGCAGGAGTTATGTCCTGGAGTTGTAGTGCTCAGCTGAGCTGTCATAAACAGCAGCAGGAGTCTCACAGGGAAATATGTGAGTACTCTGTTGATTTATGTTGAAGCATAGGACCCTGATGATAAATTGTAATACCTGGTTTAAATGCCTAACTTTGAGCTGTGGATTCAATTCCATAATTGCACTGTGTGCTTACTTAAGTCACTACTAATAATTCTTGAACATTTAGGTTTTGGTTAATCTGAAAGCAGTACTAAAAAGCACACATGTTTTGAGGCTTGTGATGGTCCTGTAGTTCTAAAATGTATTTGAGTTACATTTCTTCATTGATACTGGCATTTTTTCTTTAATATCTGCTGTCAGAGAATTTCGCAGAGGAAATAAAGGAACATATATGACTCTGGTTCTACAGTAGCTTATACTACAGTGACTTTTATTAAGGTCCAACTAAACTGTTTCAGCATCCAAAAACAAGCCAAATCTATTTGGTTTTTTCCATTGGGTTATGTTCTGCTGAGTTAATGTGTTGAAACACTGTAGGAAGGGAGTCTGGGAAGCGCTGGAGTCAGAAAGACGGAGTGGGGAGGAACATGTAACTGCATGCAGGAGCTGCCAGTAGTTGATTTAGGCTGCCATGGATCTGCCTCCTAATCTATACAGTACAGTCCACTATGGTTTATGTAGAGCACAGGTTGGTTTTGATGTTGACTCCACTGCTTTACATACTGGCATAGAGTAGGTTTCTGAAGAATACCTGTTTAATCTTACATTGGCATAGAGAGCAGATGAAATAAACTGTTATGAGTTTATGAATAGGAAAAGAATCTGGTTATAACTGATGTATCTTTGACAAAATGTGTTATCATTTCAGATTTGTAAAAAATCTTTCACTCGAAGACCTCACTTAGAAGAGCATATGATCCTTCACTCTCAGGATAAACCCTTCAAATGTACCTACTGTGAGGAGCATTTTAAATCCCGGTTTGCAAGACTGAAACATCAAGAAAAATTCCATCTCGGTATAGAAACCTCCTTTTGACATGTAAACACTAGATTTAAAGTAAAACATTCCCCCACCATTTTATGTCCTGGAGTCTGGTTTCCACCCCACCTCCTTTTACAATTCTCTCTTCACTTTTGGGGGAGAGTTGTTTAAGGGTTTTTTTGTTGGTTAAGTTTTTACTTTTGTGTTCAGCTGTCTTTTTGAGGCATTATCTTATACCCAAAAAAAGTCAGAATTTTGGGGAGGAAGAAGAATTAAGGTTAGTTTGGTTTACAACTTTTTAGCACAGAATTGATTCTCAGCTAGGGAGTCAGATTCTTCCTGAAGTTTTCAAAAGACCTTTTCCTTTCCTCCTGAAGTATTCTGCAGACTTTTTTATACTACTGATTATTTCTGATGGGTAGGAGCTAGATGGGTGATAAGAAATTTTTCTTTCAGGTGGTCTAAGTGGGCTTAATTGCTTTGGACGATGAATTCTAAATTTTTGCTTTACAGTCATGAAATTTGCCAAAATGCAAGATCTTAGAAGTAACTTAGCAGAAAGCTCACAGAATCTAGCTAAAATATGCTGACTAAAGATGAATATTTGTTAGACAAAACTTCTGCTTTGTAAATTGATGAGAGTTTTCAAAGGTAACCAGTCTGAGCTTGTTTAGTTTAGCTGATGGTCAGTCTTCCTCTGTGTGTCTGTCTCCCTGTAGGGCCTTTTCCTTGCGATATTTGTGGCCGCCAGTTTAATGACACAGGGAATCTGAAACGCCACATAGAATGTACTCATGGGGGAAAGAGAAAATGGACGTGTTTCATCTGTGGGAAATCCGTCAGGGAACGGTAAGGACTTGGCTGACTACTTGAACTTCAGCAACATTTAGCATACTTAGATTGCTGTTGAATATGCTTGGAGTTCTTAACACCAATGAGAGCATTTCAGAGCATTAGTGTATTAAAAGGTAGTGTCAGAGCCACAGATAGCATGGGATTTTCTGATCACCTCTAAAATTAAGGGTGACACCTCTAGGTAATGAATTATGAAGTTCATATATATTAAGAAAGTCTTACCTCTCATTCACTTCACTTAAGTTTCCTGCTGTTAAGAAACTTAAGTTTCTCTGTTGTGCAAAAACGTCTTGCAATTTTTTGGAAAAGATGTTGTTTTTAATGTATGTTTCTGAATTTACTTTGGGACAGTGTTTTATTTCTTTCTTGATAACTGTTTCTAGACCCAGTTGGTTCAGTAAATAGGTTGCAAGACTGTCTTTGAATGCATGTGTCATTGTGTATATCTGAGTTTATACAGTCATTTGGATATATTGTGATCCATCACAATAAAAGAAATTGAGAAAATGATAGTATGCTTCACTTTAAAGTGTCAGGGACATTGCTTAAAAATAAATTTTACTGGCTTTGTTAAACAGAACAACTTTGAAAGAACATCTGAGAATTCACAGTGGAGAGAAACCTCATCTTTGCAGTATTTGTGGGCAGAGTTTTCGTCATGGAAGCTCTTACAGGTATAGATTTTTATTAAACAAGCTAAAGTGTTTTGCTTATTTGGTGATATAAACACACTCATGTTATTCTTAGTATGTGTTTGATGTACTCTACCTCTGAGAGCATTACAAAATGTTCTAAAGATCTTTCAGTATTAAAAATATATTACTAATCTGTGAGAATTCATTTAATTTTTAATACATCAGTGGCTTAAACAAAATCTCCTAAAATCTTTTCTCAAAGTTGAGTTTTTTGCACATGTAAAACTTGTGTGTTTTTGTTATTCAAAGAGAAAATAACCAGAGGACTAAAATATCCCACTAAATTAATTTCACATAAGAGAGTTCAGCTCAGTTCTCTCTTGCTTTCTAAGAACAATTCAGGTGCACCTCAGCTGAAAGTTACTTCCTGATACTTAGGTGAAGCATTAGACTGCATTTTTTGCTATTTTGCATTGAATTAGCAGTACATTGTTATGTTAACATATGTTAACAAAATTGCATTTTATGGTCATGTTTATGACTAAATATGCAGACTTCATCTAAGAGTGCATCATGATGACAAGAGATATGAATGTGAAGAATGTGGGAAAACGTTTATTCGGCATGACCATCTGACAAAACACAAAAAAATACATTCAGGTAGGTATTTTCTTTGGAAATTGGCTTCACAATTACTATTTTGAAATAAAACCACATAAAAAGTTAATTATGGATTTTTTTCTTTTCAGTACATGCAGTGTTTTAAGCCTGATAAAAGTTCCTGCCACTCTTAAAGGTCTACTGAAGTAGAGTTAATCTTACCTCTTTCTAAAGGTTTAAAAGCCAAATGTTCCCTCTGTGATACCATAGAAAGTTGAGGGACAGTCAAAAACATGTAACAATTAATTGCTTTAAGAATCATAAATACAAAAAGCAAAAGTGAAAAAGGAGGATTTTTTAATGATTTCGGATTTCTTTCTTTTAATAGCAATTGTGTGAAACATTGCCACAACACAGAAGAAGCTGTCAGAGTCTCTGTCAAAGTTTGTACACTGATCACTTCAATGTAAGAACATCAGAGAGGTGTTTCTGAAGTCTTCCTTATGGGAAAGAGGAAAGGAAGGCTGAAGGAATCAGCCCTATGAACAGATGGGGATGATCAGGAGGAAGAAAAAAAATCTGTTGCTCTAAGAGCAGAAAGGTTATCAAATGTATAGGAAAAGCAAAGATTTACCAGTGACTTTTTCACAGCAGGATCCAGAAGAAATGCGACCTTCTAGGAGGCAAAATACTTTCTAGGCAGCATGGAACTATGAAAGTGATCAGAGTCTAAACTTCCTGAGTCTTAATGTGAAAGACAGCTTCTTTCCTGGTGTTTGAAAACATGTCTGCTATGAAATAAAGAAATCTTTGAAAGATCAAATTATGAAAAAAAAAAAAAAATCCTCTTTTCTGCTCTATTTGCTTTTCACCCTCTAGAAAGTTACATTATTTGACTGTCCACACCCCTATTTACACGAGAAGAAATATTCTGCCACTTTGTGGAAGATCTCAAGATGACTAAAAAGCATCAAGATACTTTTAAACAACATCATAAAAGAAAAAGGTAACTATGTCCATTAGGATGATTCAAATGATAAATACTGAGGTGTAATTTTAAATTATACAAATTAGTAGCTGAAAATAATTGGTATGTTTCATTAAGCGTCTCTTTAAAACAGCTGAATTATTGAAGGTGCCACATTTCAGGTCATAATGAAGAAAGTACATTCCCAGTCATTCATTTGTACCTCCCATGCAGTGAGCGTTTGGGGAAGTGCCTCTTGACTTGGAGCACAAAGTTCTTTGTAGGAATGATGTGGACTAGTCCTATATTACAGTTGCTTACTCTGAGAGAGCCACCATGCTTCCTAAATTTTCTTCTTTAATAAGAGAGAGTCCTTCTCCAAGTGAGGTGTGGAAGAGCTTGATTGGGTGAACTTTGGAAACATGGTTATAGGTCATAGACATTTAATAAGTTCCAAAAATACTTCACCAAGATTTATTGAATTTTTGCCCTTGTAGGTGAAAAAGCACATCAGTGTGAGGAATGTGGAAAATGTTTTGGCCGTCGAGATCACCTTACTGTTCATTATAAAAGTGTTCATCTAGGAGAAAAAGTTTGGCAGAAGTAAGTGTGAAGTTTTTACAACAGCATAAATACTTCTGTAGTGTAACTGATTTTGTTGCATGTATGAGCAGAATTCTGTTAATCTGTGTCTTTGTCATGCCTGTACCTCAGTCTTCATAGAGATGTAATTGGAGTTTGAAAGGGATGTCAGAAAATTGCCTCTACAATTTAAGATAGGTATTTCCTTTGTAGCACAGTTAAGTAAATAAAAGCATTTAAAAGGATCAGATTTTAATCTGTCAATTATCTGTCTCAGTGTTGTTCTTAATTGATGGTTTCCTGTAATATTTTCATTGCAGACTAATTAAAACTGAATTATTAGTCATCATGTAAGCACTGGGAGAATTATCACACATTTAAGGTGTTTTAGGCAGTGGCAGCAGATTAATGGCTCTGAAAGGAGGTAAAACTTTGGAACCTGAATTGTGTCTCTAACTTGAAAATGCAATAGGGTTTTAAAACGCTTGAGCTCTAAAAATAAACCTCTCAGAGGTTTGAAATTTGTTTGAAAAACTGCTCTGGTTGTTTTTCAAATGATATGTTTTAGCTGTTAGTACTCATTAGTGTTGTGTAGGAGCCATTAAAGATGTTTGACTTAAAAGTACAGTACAGTGCTTATTCTGTTTTTTTCCCTTGGTAGGCACTAGCCTACCTAGAAATTCTACCATTCCTAGAATCTTATTTATGGCCTGATTCTGTCAAAGTAAAAGCTTCTTGTGGGTGTTGGCAAAAAAATGTTACTTAAGGAGATTTTGGGGGTTAAATAAGAAGTTTTAATGGTTTTTGTTCCTTGAATACTTAAGTGCCATCCCAACAGAGAATAAAACTGAATATTGAAAAGAATCTAATTGACCTTATTTGTATGTAGATAGGAAATAGGAACATAAGGCAATAATAAGGAATAGGAAACATTCCTATAATAGGAATAGGAAATAGGAATATGTAATATGTAAAACAGGAATATGTAATAGGAAACAGGAACAAAAGTGAGGAAATTTGCAAAGTTTCGTATTTAGCTATTTTGCATTTTGTACTTTAGCTATTTTATTCTTTGTTAAAGATTCCAGAAAGGACTGTGAGCATAACTTTACTATTCGTTGGTTACAAAAAAAAAACAAACATGAAATGTCTTTTTTTTTCTTTAAAGATATAAAGCAACTTTTCACCAGTGTGAAGTCTGTAAGAAAGTTTTTAAAGGGAAATCAAGTTTGGAAATGCATTTTAGGACACATTCAGGTAAGAAGAAAATAAACCCCAACTAAACCACAAAACACGTAGGAATGTATTTTTATGCATCACTATTGATTCAATTATTTTGTTCATTATGGTTGTGGAACATTGAGGATGTGTAGGAGAAAGCAGCAAGATTTTATTAATTCCCATATATTGACTATTCCTGAATACTGTATTATGATAGTTTAGCTGGAATACTGATAATCTCAGCTCAGATTTGTGGGACACTTTTTGCACCTCCTCCTTTAGTTCACTGTTATGTGTGTTCTTGCCAAATTTGCCCAGACCTTCTAAATGTTTCTGTGCTCCAGAGATTACTGCATTTCAAGTGGTAATCTAAACAAGGAGTGAACTCCCTCTTGAAAGGATTATGTCCTTCCTGTTCGACTTTGCTTTTTCTGCCTTGTGTTTAGGAAAATCATTGTCTTTTGAAATGTATAGGTGTACAAACTGACCTCATTTAATCTCAGTATCGTAACAGTTAAAAGACAGCTTTTTAATTTTGGTTGTATTCTAACATATGTCCAGGGTATTGAGAGAATTGTATGTAAGGAGAAGAGTATGCCAATATAACTTCTAAACAAATTCCTGATGACTCTCTTGATTCCAGAATAGATGCTAAACTTTTTGTTTTCAGTAAAATTGATGTAGGTCTTGTTGTCATAATCCATGGAAGGTATTCACGTATTTATGTGTGATTTGATGCTAACTCAGAATAACTAATGGTTACTTCTCTGCCTTTACAGGTGAGAAGCCCTACAAATGTCAGATCTGTAACCAGTCTTTCAGAATTAAGAAGACATTAACCAAACACATGGTTATTCACTCAGATGCTCGACCTTTTAACTGCCAACACTGCAATGCAACATTTAAACGAAAAGACAAGCTGAAGTATCATATTGATCACGTTCATGGATCTAAGGCTGCAGAAGAGGCATTGGCATCTTCTCCAGAAGAAAAGCTAGTCTCCTTACCATTGCAGTACACCTCTGATGACAAAGTTTACCAAACTGAGGCTAAACAGTATGTCGAACAATCCAAAGCATACGAATCAGAAGCCAAAACTTTGCTGCAGAATGTATCTCCAGAAGTGTGTGTGCCTGTGACTCTGGTCCCTGTTCCCATGCCAGACCCCCAGGCAGAGCTGGTGCAGCACGGCTCTCAGTCCCATGGCATCCTTCCCCCGCAGCCAGAGCAGCCAGATTATCAGCGAGCAACAGAGCTCTCCTTCCTCGAGAAATACACCTTGACTCCACAGCCTGCAAATATTGTTCATCCTGTAAGGCCTGAGCAAATGCTGGATCCTAGAGACCAGTCATATCTTGGAACTTTATTGGGGCTAGATACAACTCCAACTGTACAGAATATTTCAAACAATGAACATTCATGATCAGACCATAACATTCCACCAAATTTACTAAGCCATCGGCCACCAAAAGGCTGATATGGCACCTAAGATTTATATTTTATATTTTATTTGGACTCATTAAGTCTTCTGCATAATTTTGGGAAAAAAGTTTGTTTACATGATATTTGAACATTTAGGCACATTTTGATGCATATGAAAGAGTGTTTCTTTAAGAGTTTTTAAAAATCTTATAGATGGTCTTTTAAAAATAATGCTCTGAAATATCTTTTAAGGATAGTGGCTGAAAATGTAATTACATATCTGGCTATTAATTTAAAAAATTGATTGCCTTTCTGCATCTGACTTTGAGCTAATGTTTTAAGTGGAATAGAAAGCATTCTAAAAGAATAAGGACTATTTAAAATTCATAAAAAGGGCAGGCAGGGCTATGAAACACAAATTTTGAATTATGCTTCATGCAGAAATTAATATATAATTTCCTCGAACCTGAGGCGTTTTCGGAGGGTTTTATAGGTGGCTGGACTCTGGAGCCTAGCCAGTGAACACAGGCACTAGGTTCTTCTGAAAAGTGATTTATGATACTTTATGAAGACACTAAACAAGGTGTTCGATGATCCCCCTGAGTACAATTAGGCTGCCTAAATTTGGCCTCTTAGTTCTTCTTTCATCTCGAATATTGAATATGGGAAGAGCTAGACAATGGTATGGTCTAATTTTCTACACTTAGTATTATATATAAATTTAAGATGCATTTTTTCTTGCTTTTTCAATCTTCTTTGTCTTCTAAAGTGTACCCCACACTCTAACTTCAAAAGAAATGGGAGTATTTGCAAGGTCATTTTAATCCATGAATTATCTGTGATAGCAGAGAAATTTAAAGACTGTTCCAGAACAGTTCTTAATTTCTATTAAAAAAAAAATCAGTAATTATAAATCTCTTGTGAGTTGCTAATTATTTTGTTTCTCACTTTCTTGTACTACTGTGTTTATAAACCAAAGTTAAATTCTTGAGACTATTTTATGTCTAATTTTAATTTTTAGCTCTTTCTTTACTAGACATAAGAGTTTTTTCAAAAAAACCTGTTTGGAATTACAAGTCTGGTGTCACCATGAAATCTAGTATAGTTTAACCTCATCAAGTTTTCTCTTTTAAGTCTACTTTAAAAACAATTATTCTGTGTTTGTTTGGTGAATATGATGCCAAAGAAAGTATCTGAAGTAATTTTATAATCTTCATAATTCCTCACAAAAATTGCATAGTAATATTCCCATTTTACTAAAATGAGAATTAAGATTGAAATTTTCCCACAGTTTTCCCTATTCTTAAATTATTATCTCAGAGAATCTTTAAAATAGGAAGCTGGATTTATGTGTATTGTTTTAACTGTTAAATTTATTCAATGACCTGAGCACAAGTGAGCTGTGATGACTCTCTTATCACAGTTCTACAAACTCTAAAGAGGCACAGATCATTTGAGACTCTATTCAGATACTTTGGTGTTAGATTCTATTAATCATCTGCTTCAAGTGTTAAGCAGTTTGCAGGAGAGGGGCCAGAACTGCCTGAATGTTTATATTTTGAAGCTTGTACCCTAGTGGATTCTTAACCTAAGCACACCAAAGATTTCTGTTAGCTGTTAAATAGTGGCAGAGCTATAGAACTTTAAATGTTACCAATATTTAAATAGGACTTAGCCAAAGAAGCACAATAGAAGTCCTAAACTTTAAAAGTTCAGTTTCTAAAACAGGACTACATATGTTTAACTGTTCTATGTTTGTATCTCTAAAGTAAAATTTAGAGCTGTGCTCTGGGAATGTTCAGACTGACATGCTGTAAATAAATCTGGGAAGAAGCTGAAGACTAGCAAATACACAGCAATAACAAGGCCATTGAATGCCACCTTCTGAAAGGACACTATCAAGTACTACTCTTCCTGCTTTCTAATTCCACCTTTCATCTCCTTTCAAAATAAAACTATTTCTGTCACCTTTACACTCCATGGCTTGAAAATGGCTGGTTTATGTGTAGTTTCAAGTCTACATGTGTGTATCATATTCATACTATTCATGTGCACATGATTTCTACTGTAATTTCTATTTGTAATGGAACTGTTGAAAGTAACTCAATCAGTGGTGTCAGTGCAGTGCTCAGACTAAAAGCCTAATTCTTTGTTATATCTTGTCTTTTCTGTTCTACAGTAGAAATAAGTATTGTATGATTTTGACAAAACAGTAGCTTTGAAGTGGTTCGTAAATAATTATTTCTTTTAAAGTCCAGTCTGTTTGAAAGGCACTCTAAGAAAACACTGAAATGGAATTTGGAGCATATATACTTGATAATGTCCTTTAAAAAAATTCTTTCATAATTGTGCCTTTTATATCTATTCTGAAGAATGGCTTTTTCCTCTAGTTGAGTTGTTTAGTTAGAAAACATAAAGGTCAATAACTTTCAAAGGGCTCCATGTTTGTGTGTGCCCAACAAGAAATGGACTTACAAAGGACTAATTTTTCAGAAAAATGAGCTTGCTCTTTGCTGTTTGGGTGACCAGAATTACTAGTCATTCCTGGAAAAAATTACCTACTAGTTCTTTGGTGTTCATTTGTTTGCAGATAACCCTACTAGTTAGTGTTTGTACCTGCTGGTCAGGCTGGATCATTGCCAGTTGACAGTGAAAGACAGTAAGAAAGCTTATGTGCTAGATACATAGTTTTTATTTTATATCATGAGCTATAATTTGTATGGCTTTACATCTACTTAAAATTCCTATGTGGGCAAAGTAAATTTTCATAGACTGGAAATTCTTTCATCTGGTAGGTGAAAGTATCTGGTTTCTGCTTGATAGAAGATTGTCCCTGTTAGGAAGACTGGGGTTGAAGAGCAGAGGTCTGCACCTCAGCTCATGCTTTGGAACTCCTTGATGGCTGCTCTCCCCATTTTAATATGTGCTTATCAGAGAGCGTGTGGGCTGTTGATGTGGAGGGAGCATTTACAATAAATGTTTTATCTGGCAGTCCCTCGATCAGTTGAGTGTTTATTGCCAAAGAAGGAAGAAGCACGTATCTCTTAAAAAGATCTCTAAGGAGTGTTTAGTTGCACATTGCAAAAAGTCTTTTCTGCATGCTGACCTTTGGGAAGAAGAGTGGAGTCCATGCTGGTATTCCAGACTGCTCTGTTGTTCTGAGAACTTACTTCTTCTGTTCAAACATTAAATTCTATATTTTTTTGCTATACAAATTTCTGGTTGTAGACTGGGTTACTGCCTTTAATTATTTTAGTGTGTTTTATGTCCAGTTTATTTATTTATATTGGAATTTCCTCTTTGAGCACTGACACTTTTCTTACAGAGGTGTATCCCTCATGGGCTCTTATCATGCTGAATATCAGTAATGGTGAAGATATTTTTCTGTAAGGCAGAGGTTTCCTTAAAAATATAGCTCTACTATAGTCTGGATTATAATTCCAGTAGTTGCTTCTAAAGAAGGGCTGTGCCAGTCCACAATGACAAAAGGTGGACTTGGAGTCATCAAAGAGCTGAGCTTCTTTCCCTATAAAAAACGTCAAGGAGCCTCCAGAACTGAAGAACGCTTCAAAGGAGTCACCTTGCAATGTGCTTGATCAAATATGAAACATGTTATGGACTATTAAGGAATAAATGACCCTCAAGTTTCTAAAATAACTAATGTGTAGGAGTTCATGAATGTAGAATTATGAATTAATTCTGATGTAGATTAATACGATTTTTTTTCCCCTGATAACAGTAAAATGTTGTGAAATTTTTCTGTGTGGAGCACACAAGCATGCCTGATCCAGACTGTGGGTTCCCCATATGCCTGAGGCTAAAGGGAAGCAGAGTGCATTTATCTGCAGGTCCTTGTGACTGTTGGCCTGTGGGATCTTGCTCTACGACACAAATTCCCAAATATTTGGTTACTTCATCATGTGCATCGAAGAGTGTCACTGGCAGAATGTAATGCAGGGTGGTCACCTTGCTTAAGGCCAAAAGAGTCTTTTTCATGGTTCATTAGAAATGTTTTGGTTTAAAAGGTTTTGATGGATTAAAGGTAAAAACGACAGATTTTTTTTTTAATCCTCCGTTACCGTTTTGATCATGCTAAATGTTGGTCCTTTTATATGAAAGAAAAAAGTGAAAAGAACTCAATATTTTGTCACTGGTATATTGAAATAATGTGTTTTAAATGTGATCTGTACAGGTTGGTATTTTAAATGGAAGTCTTTAAGATTGTCTTTTTAGGGGAAATCCTTCGCTGTAAGGAAAAGTTAGGAAGTATACTGTAAACGTGAAAGTACCCAGTCCTATGTGTAATTTTGTTTGCTATGGAAAAGTAAGGTTCTTTTGTCTTAACATTGTGTGCTTCACAGGATTTCTTGCAGGGGTGCTTGCACTAAGCTTTGATTTCTGCCCCCTTTTGTTTTTAAACAGCATGAAAACACAGTATTCTGTGTCTTTCAATTTCAAAGCTCATTAAAGAAGCAGATGAGGCCGGTGTTTTCTTCGGATTTGTGTGTGTCTCATTCTACTTTTGACTTTAAAATATTTTGTAAATTAAATTTATTTACGAAAAAAAAAAAAAAATCTTGGTTTTGCTTAGTTCGTTAGTTTCTTTTTCAGTGTGGGGAGGAGAGCTGTTTGTCAGGGCAGTTGCTCCACGCTGTTGTTTTGTTTTTTGATTTCGAACCCACAGAATCTCACGGGTAATGCTCGCGGCCCTGCGAGCTCGGGCTGTTTAAATGAAGCCTCGAGTGCTGATTGGCGGACGGGCGAGAGGGCGGGTTGGAACGGGCGCGAGCCGCGCTAGGATTGGCTGAGAGGCGAGGAGGCGGGACTAGTGGGCGCGGCCCGCGCGGGGATTGGCGGAGCCCTGGGTTTGAATGCGCGAGCGGCGGTTGGCAGTGCTGCCTGTACGGGGCTGCCGCTCCGCGCCTGCCCGACCATG